TATTTTTAGTTGTCCAGCCAATTTCTATTTTTTCAATAGAGATGGGGTCTCGCTCTTGCTCAGGCTGGTCTCGAACTCCTGAGCTCAAACGATCTGCCGGCCTCAGCCTCCCAGAGTGCTAGGATTACAGGCGTGAGCCCCCATGCCCGGCCAACATTACATTTTTGATAGATTTCAAGTTCCATGAGAGCAGGAAGAACGTATATTGTGTTTGACATATATCCAACACCTAGTACTGATACATAAATATTTTTTGAATATGGAAGTAAAAAAGTAAATTTTGGCTGGGCACAGTGGCTCACGCCAATAATCCAAGCACTTTGGAGGGCTGAGGCAGGAGGATCATCTAAGCAATCCAAGTTATATAGGCTTGGAATAAATGTGGGTCATTCCATAGAGGGTCCTGCCCCACACCCAGAAGGAAGAAATCCATGCTCAGAGAGGCCAAGAAGAACCTCGACAGACTGGCCTTGCTGGGTTTCCCTACCCAGTCAATCATATTTCTACATGGCTGTCTATGCTTTGTTGAACCTAAGCATAAAAATGGGCCATTTCCCCTGTATCTCTGGGTTTTCATTCTGAAGACTCCCATGTGCATATTAATGAAATTTGTGTGCCTTTCCTCCAATTAATCTGCCTCTTGTCAGTGATTTTCAGTCAACCTTCAGAGGGCAAAGGGAAGCTTTCCCTTGGCCCCTAAAGGGTATATACCCAGCCAAGTCTCAAACAACATAGCAAGACCCCATCTCTACAGAGAGAGAGAGAGAGAGAGAGAGAGAGAGAGAGAGAGAATCATGCCACAGAGAATCTATAAAGAAGTTGTCTTCTAGGTTCAAAGCCCTGTCTACTGGTCATCTATCAGAGATGCAACTTCCTCAGATGCGCACCACAGGGAGAGGCAAACCCGGGCGCCCGGCGGACTGGACAAGAAGCACCCGAGGAGAAGCAAGTTCAAGACCCCAACTGCACATCATTTCCTGTCAACCCCGAAGTTAGGCTTGTTATTCTCCTGGAACCACTAGGGGGAGCCAAACTTCGCGGCTTCAACACAGCACAGAAAAGAAAGCAACTCACAGTGGAGTATTAGATATTTAATTATTGTATTAATTTAGTTGGCAGCCATCCTCAATTTGGGAATGTCTAACTCTTAGTCCTGATTTTCCTCCTAGCTCTCTAACCCTTCCTTCCTGTCCCCAGCTGCATCCTCTTCCTCTGCTCACCCCTGGGAGTTCTGTCCCAGGCCCACCTCTCCTCCTCCTCTCCCTGATGACCTCACTCCCTCTCCTGGGCCCATCCTCCCAACAGGGATGTATCTCTGGCCCGGCTCTCTTTCTCTGAGCCCTGTGACTATCTCCTCCTGGCTTTCGACAGCCACTCCAAAGACCATGTGGCTTCTGTCCCCCAAACCACCTGCCCTTAGGAGAGTTTCCTGTTTTGGTTAATGGCAATGTCATCTGCCCATCATTCAAGTCAACTTGGGATTCATCCTGACTCCTCTGTCTCCTGAACCCAACTGATGATCAAGTCCTGTGGGTTCTATGTGCAAACCTTCTACCTCCTCTTCTAAGCCAACGTTGCCTGTTACCTGGGTTGTACCACTAGCAGGTCTCCTTGGAGCCATGCTTGTGCTTTTCCATTTCATTGTTTACGTGACGCTCAAAGTGACCTTTTAAAATCAACCTGTTACCATCTTGCTTGAATCCCTGATGGCTTCCCGCTGATCTCAGGATAAGGGCTGAATCTTTAGCATGACCTAGGGCCTTGGGCTCCTGCCTCTGCAGCCTCAGGACACCCCTTCACTGTCCACCCTCTCTTACCCACACGGGACTTGTTGAGTTCTTCAGATTCACTACTCTCCCTTTCCCCCAACCATGTTCTTTCCTCTTTCTGGAATTCTTTCTCTTTGTCTCTGTGTCAGATTTCAGACAAGGTTACATCTCCATGCTCTAAGCTCCAGGCCACCACTTTGAACCACTCCTCTTGGGCCAAATTGCTTTTCAAAGTACATCATTTACACTTGACTGTAAGATTAAGGCAGGAACCATGTCTGCCTTATCATTGCTCTATCCTTGGCATCTAGCACCATGTTTGGCACAAGCAGGTACTCAGTTAATACTGTTTAATGAATTTGGGGGAGTGACAGCATTTGCTCATATCTCTTTAATTAGAAAAGAGGGCAGGGATGAACTGGTAGGCAACTTACAGGGATTGCACACTGTAAAACAGGATTTCTCCCAAAATTCTTTGAAAGAGTTGTCCAATTAAGGGCCTGACCTCCAGCAGCACCCCAGGAGAGCAGATTGATTCAGGGCCATGTGTGGCTACATAACCATGGTAGAAAAAAATGGGGAGGCCCAGACAGCCAACCAGACCACTGTAGTAATTCCTATGGCTATTATACAGGATTCCTGATATAATTAGATCTTATTCTGATGAATCTAATATATTTTTCTATTGCTTTGGTAACAGTACTTGACCTTGTGACTTCTACTTTCAGCAACCCACCAAGAGAGAAAAGTGAGCTCACATAGTCCTGGAGGAACTTCGGAGAGTCTCTCCAAATGGTCATGGGCCGAATCGGCCAGCCAGGGTAGGAGGGGAGGCACAAAGGTGAACAGCTGCCATATGCAGAGTGACTGGATCACAGCCTCACTTTATGAAGACTCTTCCAGAGAGAGGAAAGGAGGGCCCGGTAGAGATGAGAGAATGGATGCGAGAAGCTTTATGGAAGTAAAATCTACAGGACTTGGCCATGATTGAACATGAGGGGTGTCAAAGGCAATTATGGAGGCCAGGACTCCCCAGTGAGAGGCCCTTGGTGGTCCAGAGTAAGACAGAGACTGACCAGCAAGATCTTAGAAGTTTATCTAGGCAACATCATGCTTACAGCATCACCAGAAGAGCCCTATGGATATTGCCCGCGTAATTCAAAGGGATGCATTCTGAACTAGGCTCATTTATATCCAGAAAACCTTTACACCTGAAATATTAGATGGTTTCCTAGCAGTTTCAACTCTCAGCCCCCAGCCTCTTCCATCACCATAACAACCATGTTATGATAAGCAGTGTGGCATTATCCGGAAGGACTTTTTTACCTCTCCTTGCAGATCTAATCTCCCTCTGGTTAGCATTCAACTTCCTACAACACACAGAACCATCCCCTCCCTCTCGCCTCCCCTCCCCCACATCCTAAGCATGAACACATCTCCAGCTGGGTCCTGGCTGTATCCAACACACTTGTATCCTTATAAGTATTGCCTGATTACTGGATCAGGCAAATTCCAAAGTTGCATATATCCTCACAGCAATAAGAATAAAGGTAAAGGCAAGATGTTTAAAGACCAAAACAGATACAGGTGTGGTAAAGCTCAAATCTATTCCTCCCTCTCTGGGAGACCTCAGGAAACTTACCTCTCTGAGACTCAATTTCCTTAATTTCAGTCAAGATATTACCAGTATTATAGCAGTTTTATGAGAATTAAACAAACTTATTCATATAAAGTACTTAACTTAGAGTCTGGCATATAACAAATGCTCAAAATCTATTATGATCACTAGACGGTAAACCCCACAAGGGCAGGGATTCCATCTGCCTCAGTCATTGCTGAGTTGGGGAGTACGTCAGTTCATGGCCCAGGGAGAGGCTCAGTTAGTATTTGTTGAAAGAACGAATAGAGGTTATCACCCTATTTAATAAACTAAGAAATATAGGATGAAAGGAGGGGTAGGCAAAGGGATCTACTTATGTAGAATGAAGAGAAGAAATATTAACCACAGAGCTATCCAAATCCAAGTCACGTAAGCAGAAAGCCAAAGCACGGTTGTCCCCACTTCGGTTGAGGCCACCCTCAACAGTACTATTTTCAGTGTGGGACAATGGAGAAAGTGCTGCCATCGGTAGGCAGAGGAAACATAGAAAGAACAAATTTGGGAGAAATACCCTGTAATAATTTATGTTTTCACGTATTGAATTTGAAATGTCAACCAGTCATTCAGAAAGCTATTGATCAGGCAGGAATACTATTAGTGGCTCTCATGAAATGGGTTCCAAAAGGAGTCAAGGCTGGAAATACAGATAAAGAAGGAAGGTGTGAGGGCTGTGGTTGAAGCCAGCAGAAAGCACAAAGAGAAAAGGAGGTTAAGGAGAAAGCCCTGGAAAACAGCCACTGCAAGCAGATAAAGAGAAGCCATTTCAAAATTAACAACTGGTCCCAATTTCTTGTCTTCATAAATTGTTGGCTTCAGTTGTAGGGAAGAGAAATCAGAGAGGTCTGTTCAGTTGATCAGAATTATGTGAGGAACAGGAGAATAGTAACTTTCAGCCACTCTGCATCCCAGCAAAATGAACCACTGAAATGTCATCACTCACTGTACCTGAGAGCATATATCTCTTCCTCATTTTGTGGCACCGATCTGCTTTAATCTTGGCCACCGAGAGTAAATAGGCCCCAGAAGCATCACATCCGGCTTCCGATAAGATGTTCCAGTAGTGAGTGAGGTGCAGCCTCGTCCAGAAGCTTGGGCTTTGGATTCTTGACATAAAGTCTGTGATACTTGTGACACAATGTATTAATACACAGAATTTTACTACTTCATGCCTTGAAGGAAGCTCTTCTTCTATTTACATTTCATTAGCCTATTGCATAAACTTCTTACCTAACAAGACTTTGGTAGGTCACCAGATAAGTATGAGCCTTTCCCTCTTCAGCAGTCAAAGCCAATTCTGCTCATCTGTGCAGGGGCCCCCGCCTCTGGGCAGGCTCCCCGGGTCTGCCAGGCAGAGCTGGCCCCTCCCTCGTCTGTGCCGCATAGCTCACTGTGCCACTGCTCTAGTGAGGCATTTACCACCACGTATAGAAATTCTCTGGCTCTGCATCTTTCCGCACTAGAAGGAAAGCACCTGAGGGCTTTGGGGCTCTATCTATTCACTTCTGCACCCTCAGGGCCTGGCACAGTGTGGGAGACAGAGTGGGTCATAAGAAGATGTTTGCTGAATTAATGCATAGGAGGGAAAGAAGGAAGAGGCAGGGAAGGAAGGGGGGGTGGAGGGAAGAGAAGTTGTATAGGGAAAAGAAGGGGATGGAAGGGAAGAAGATAGAAGGGTTTAGCAAGAGAACATGGCCAATCCTTTACCCTTTTCCAACTCTCCAGAATGCCACTTAACTCTGAGAGGAATCCACGTGGTGTGAAAAGAGGACACAAACACTGCAGCACCAGACAGATCCAATGGAGCAACCCTGGGGATCCGCCAACCACAGAGTCGATGCAAGGTGATGTCCCATCCGAATGAATGAGTGGGTGGTTGAATGAATAAATGAATGAATACATCTTGCTCAATGAAACCATGGGTATCTAAACAGCACTGACAAAAGGAAAAGCTAAATCTGCCTAAATACAATGATAGAAAAATGGTGAGACTTACCTAGGGCTTGAGAGAAAGCTGCACAACCCCCTCCAGCACCCGCTCATTTTCATATGCCACGGCAATTCTTGATACACTCTCCAGAAAGTGGTTTGCCACTGGAAGTATCTCATCAAGATTTGGTGAAAATGTGTTTTCTTGTGATTCGCTGGGTTCTGAAATGCATATGGACTGCTTTCTCTGACCGGAGTGTCTACACCTATTTAAAAATCAATCACAGTTTAATGCATCTGGCTTTTTAGTATATGAAAATGCTATAGCAAAAATGTGACTGCTCTGTGGCCATCATTAATGAAATAAAAGTCAAGGTTGCTGGAAAAAATGTATCGTATACATCAGTCTGAATTTACCAAAGAAATAGCTATAGTTATGATCACTGATCTAGAATTTGAGGAGTTTGTAACCAAATTGATTTTTCATGCTGAGTCCTCCCCCTCCCCCAAGGAAATAGCTGTAACCTATTTTTCTGTTTTCATTTTTTTTCTTTTTTAGCAACCTGAGATGCTCCAAAATTCTATTTTAAATATACACTATGGTTGCTGCTTAAACAAGCACTTTCAAATATTTGAGGGTGTACGTTTTGGAGAAGTTAATCCATGGCCTGGATCTCATACAGGCCAAGGGGTAGCTGAGCAAACAAATGGCAAATCTGATGTTGGAGCCGGAATTACCGTATCTTCATTTCCAAAGAGAAATGGTTCCAACAGATCATGCTACCCAGACATAAGCTTCTCAAAGACAGAAGGGTTTTGTTTCATTAAAACCTGGTGACATCTATCCTTGAAAACTAAACTATTAATAGAAATATTTTAAAATATTCTGCAAGATGAATGGAGCACACAGCTAGATGGCGCCCCAAGCCCAGCTCTTCATAAGAACTGTAATAAAAGGGAAGCCCAGTGTGCATTTCCACTGAAATGATTTCCAGGTCACCCGCCCATTTGGACAGACTCTGAGCTATCTGGTCTAAAGCGTGCAGATATGCCCAGGCAGCAAGCGCAGTGCTCACGAGACTCATGGAAGAAAAAGAAAACTCCTCCTCCACTGTGTGTGGCAAAGGTATGCTTGTGGGTAGTAAATTGGGAAAGTGGGGTGCAGAATGGGGGAGAAAAAGAACTGGGGCAAATATTACCCTGAGTCCAAGATTTGAAGTGTTAAAGTGTATGAAACATTTTCATAGGCTGGGCATGGTGGCTCACGCCTGTAATCCTAGCACTTTGGGAGGCCGAGACAGGAGGATCGCTTGAGGTCAGGAGTTCAAGACCAGCCTGAGCAAGAGCAAGACCCCATCTCTACAAAAAATAGAAAAATTATCCAGGTATGGTGGCACACACCGATAGTCCCAGCCACTTGGGAGGCTGACGCAGGAGGATCGCTTGAGCCCAGGAGTTTGAATTGCAGTGAGCTATGATTGTGCCACTGGGTGACAGAGCGAGATCCAGTCTCCAAAAAAAAAAAAAAAACTCACAGAAAATATTGCACTTAATTTTGTCTTTTTACAAAATAAGCTCATGAAGAGGATATGGATATGAATCCCCATATGACCAACGAAGCTACTTAGCTACTTAAAATCAGAGAGACCAGGTGACTTACCCCCGTCAGCATGTGACCAGTAACTGGAGAAGCAGCATTCAAACCTTCCGCTCTAACTCCAGTGCTCCTCCAAGTACACATGAGATGTGTGAGGAATGGTTTGACCCCAGCATCATCTTTGCACACACAGTGCAGCACGGTTCTCATTGACAGACTTAATGGCTGATGCTCCTGCAGTGTTGTTGTGACACGTGGTGGGCTAAATTATGCTGCACTGACAAACAACCCCAAAATCCCAGTGCCCTAAAAGAGCAAAGGTTGATTATGTCCACCACAGGATTGGAGACCGGGGACTCCAATCCAGGCCTCCTGAATGCAGGACTCACAGAGCAGCTGTCATCCTGAACGTTTCCAGTGGCCGCTTAGTCACAGGGCCCCACCCGACAAGGGGGCCAGGAAGTGTTTCTCATGGTGAAGGAGGCACTGGGCTCAAAGGGCCACCGCAAGTGCTTATCATAGTGCCACATGCTATATCTTACATGAACTAGCATTTTTAATACTCTTGAGGCAAGTTGCTATAATATTATCCCTATTTTGCAGGTGAGAAACTGAGTCTTAGGGAGGTAAGCATCTTGCACAAGATCACACCTTAGCAGTGTGACACAGTTCTGTCAGACTCCAAAGCCATCACTCTTAACAATAAATCATTTCTAGCAGATTCCGTGGTGATTTCTGGGAGGAGGGAAGGTAGACTCTGTTTGCCAAACAGCATGCAGACCTGAGAGTGAGCTGAAGACAGGGCAAAATGAGGCCACTCCCGTTCCATGACCAAGACGTCATATGCAGGTGGCTTGTGCCTCTTCTCCTGTGCTCAGCCCACCAGCTCCTGATTCTATTGCAGGCAGATGTTAGAGGCTGAAGTTGGGTACGGACTCTCAAAGCAATAGAGATGGAGGCCTCGAGAAATGGCAGGCCCAAAAAGCCAGCAGCCAGAAATAGCTGTGCATTCATTCAGCAAACATCTATTGAGTGAAATTGGAGTGGGTCCCAGGGAACGCAGACCTGCCTGAGGGTGTCTGATGAACAGAATAATCCTTAGGCCGACAGAATTCAACATCACCAGTTGATTTGCATGGGCCATCCTGGGAAAGGTGATGGGTAGGAGGCCCCAGAGAAGAAAGTGAGGAAAATGAAGAGGATGTCGATAGTGGCTAACATTTCTTGAGACTTTACTATGGGTCAGGCACTGTTCTAAGTGCTTTATAGGAGTTACTTCATTGATGCTCACAAGTAACAATGCTATGAGGTTGGTACATTTTATTTTATAAATGAGGGATCTGGGACACAGAGTGGTAAATAATGTGGCCAAAGTCACCACCTAGCAAGAGGGAAAGCCAGGGCTCACCCCAGTCTGGCATCAGGATCCCACTTTTAATCATCATGCTATATTGACTCCTTCCACTCAACAGAGATGGAAAAAAAAGGGGCTTCACTGGATTTGGGGGGAGGTTTTATGGGGTATAGGGTTACAAGAAGAAATGGAAAGGGCTCCCTGAGAGCCTGCAAAGGGTGGGGTTTGGGGGAAAAGGGAATGCAGTGGTGCTCAGATCTCCCAGGAGATGCTTTCCCCCACTTCTGATGGAACCAGCATCTTGAGGTCTGGCTGCTTTGGGACCAAAGGAGAGGAAGGGACCCTTGGCGTGAAGTCTGGTTTTCTCTCAGCAAACAACACCAACAGGGCAGTTGGGAGGCATCCTTGTTTGTAATAAGAAACCAGAAGAGACTTTCTGGTAACTAAAGCCAACAAACAGATGGGTGAGCACATATGACACTGCCGGGGACTCCCAGGAACACCTGGAGCAGGTGAGGATGTTCCAAGGGGCTGGTGGGAAATGACCTACCCTAGTCTGAGGATGCTCTGGTTGCACGAGAAATAAGAGAAATAATTTATATTTATATTTATATTTATAATTTATATGGCACAGTGAAAGCACTGAAAAAAAAATGTGGCTATCATGACCAGTAGACACAGAAAGAATATAAGATGAAACAATCCTCAATCTAAGTAAGAAAAAGGGAAAGACCCATGATCTTTCTAGGTCAGCCAATTTTTAGTAGGCGTAATCTCGGTTACAAATTGAATATAATACTAGACACTTCAAAGGCAAGAAGCATGCAGATCGATGTCACTAAGAGAGACCAGCTTGCCTCAGAGTGATTGACTGGTATGACATTTGGACAAAAGAGTCAAAAAATAGCCCTCTACAGAAAAAAAAATTATAATGGACTCAAGTACTGTAGCCCTGGTTTTTAGACCTTGTTCATCCTTGTGGGATGGCCTTCTCATGCCCAGGGCACATGGAGGTGAGCTATTGCTATTACAATTCCTGATTCCTCTAGCAAAGACTAGTACTCACAGCCTCATTCTGCAGCATACAACTCTTTTTTCCTGGCAATAGCAAATATTGTCAACAGTGCTTTTTTTTGGGCTCACAGCTCAGCGAAGGGATGCAATGTGTACCCACAATTTTAACAGCCGCACCATGACCCTTTAGCAGGAAATGGAGAAATTGAATGCGTTGCAAACCATCATACAGCAAGTGAACAGAAGAACCTACATTAAATCTAAGAGCATCCCCACTCCTAGGCCCGCTCTCTCCTCCACATCGCATAACTTAAGAGAGAGTGGGAATGATTACAATGTAGGAGAGAAACAGTAAAAAGGATTTATCCTTTTAAAAATGAAAGTAGAAGAGAACATAGTAAATTTAACGGGAAATTTGCACAGAGCTTGGACTCTTGCCAGAGGCTACTTAAAGATGTTCCGAGTCCTTAGACCTGAAGTGCTCTGTGTAATTGTCACGGAGTGCTCTGCTTCTAGGTCTCGTGTTTGTGATTTCCAAGGTCTCTAGGATGCAGACCTGCAGTCCTTGTCAGAAAGGGATAAGAATTTGATTTCAGAATTCGGGTAGAGATCTCTCACTCCTACCCAGTATCCACTTGGGGAAGTTCTGTCACTCTTCTTTGTTAGCGACAGAATCCCACCTTGGTTCAGGGTAGCAGTGTACATAGCTGAAACCTCTATTCCCAGCTTCCCTTGCACCTAGCTGTGGCCAAGTAATGAGGCTCTGGGTCAAAGAGACATAAGTAGAAATGGTGCTGTGAAACTTCTGGGAAAGTTCCTTAAACGGAATTGCTAAGCTCTTCTTCCTTCCTGTGGCCTGAAATGTGATGGCTGGAGCTCCAGCAGCCATAAGCATGGGGTGCCCTCGAGAATGCAAGCCAGTGTAGGCAATCAGGGACACAGAAGGAGCTGGGTCCCAGGTGACTTTGTGGGGCCAACAGAGCAGCCCAGAAGTCTGTTATAGGAGAGAATAAACCCTGGGGAGTTCAGTCACTGAAGTCGGGTCTCAGTTACTCATAGTCAAATACAAGTCCTAACATATAACCATTTCCATACGTGTTTATGGATTTACTCCTACGTGAAAAATCCCAGCTATGAGCTTTCCCTTGTACGTGACTCCTCCCCGCCCCTAACGGGCAGGTGTGCTCGCAGCGTCAAGCTTTGCTTACCAAGGAGCTTGTGCTCCACAGCGTTTCGTAGGGACTGGTGCTGGAAGTACAGGAGCCCATTGGGCTTCTCCTGGACCCACTGTTTGGTGGCGTTGCGGAAGGCAGCCCAGTGCAGTGCGGTCACTTTGTAATGATTCCTGTAGCCCAGCATGTCCAAAAGCTGGAGTAGCTCATCCTCGGCCAACCCGCAGTGCGAGATACACAATAAGCACAGAGCGTTGGCCACCCAGCCATCCAGCCCTGCATAGACATGATGGTGACAAAAATAATAGCTAACATGAGCCAGATATCATTCTGAATGTTTTATATGATTAAACAATTTATTTCTTTCAGTGTTTATAGGTAAACACTGTAACTGCCCCTGTCTTACAAATGAGGAAAGTGGAGCATGGAGAAGTTAAATAACTTACCTACGGTCACACTGCAGTAAACACAGAACTGGGATTTGAACCCAGACAGCCTAGCTCCACAGTCCACACTGTTAGCCATAAGTTACCATCCATATTGTCACAACGAATACATGCAGAGCTATGGCTGCACCCTGGCAAGCTTGCCGATTATTACACTGAACATTTCTGCTGCGTAGTCTTTACTGAGGTTTTCAAATACCTAATTTGCACTTAGGTAGCAGTGGTTTTGTGTGGGATTGTTCTTCTGTGATGTGTGGCAGGCTGGCACTTGAGCCAGCTCTTCGTTACTCACCTGACCCCCCTTAGATTTCCTATCACAGCTGGGTTTCCCGCTGGCTCCATGATTAACCAACTATAAAAAGATCCTTCCGACCATTAGGGAAACGACAACACAGTCTACCATTCTAAATTTATATCCTGTGCTAGGATTGGAGGACGAGCCCAAATTACCTACTATCTTTAAGCATAGGCAGAGCTGTCCTGCCCCAGCTGTATACGCATCCCCTGAGGTTGATTTCAGCTTAACCAAGCTCTTCCTGTGCCTGGGCCCCAGTGGGGTGGCTGGGCAGTACTGGGGGTGGAGCAGTGTCTGGGGAAAGGAGACCTGGGCTTTTCCTGCACAGTCCTGGAGGTGGAGAGTAGCACAGCCATGGGCCACTTTGCCTGAGTGACTCTTCCAGGGACACAGGACCTTGTTTCCAACTCCTTGAAGGTGGGGGAGAGCACACTAATTTTGAAGTCAGTTTTCTTTACATAAATGCAAACTCTAGAGTGAAAAATGGGGCAGGAAAGCATGTTGTAGTATAAATCCACGTGGCTTTCCTTCCAGGGATTCTCCACTTCCCTCTCCTCACCCCCATTTCCCCATCCCTGCCCCATTCCAATCCACTGCCTGTAAGAGAAGACTGTTACAGCAGAAACAAAGAAAGAAAAACTCAAGTTTCAAAATAGACATTTGAGGCTCAGAGCAGAGACAATGGCTTGAGAGAACAAACTTTGACTCTCAAAAGCCTGATTGCTGAATGTCATAAAATAAATTCCTGACCAACTCATGGGATAAATCTTTTACCACAAACAACTGACTCATACAATTACAGGATGGTCTAAAGAGGACTTTTTTTCCCCACCCAGGAGGAAAGGAGATTTTGCTGAATTGAGAATGGTACAGGAGAGTTAGAGAAGAGAACAAGACTCAAGAAAAGCACAGAAGTTGGCTGAGGAGAGGGGCCCCCTCAGGTAGGATGAGAAACTGAGTCAGCAGGTGGCAGCAAAGATCGTGCAACCCGAGAACAAATAGGAACTTGGGTATCCTAGAGGAAGCCAAAAATGGAGAGACATCAATATCCATGGACCGGCCAGGTATGGACTATAATCCCAGCACTTTGAGAGGCTGAGGCGGGAGGATTGCTTGAGGCCTGGAGTTCAAGACCAGCCTGAGCAACACAGCAAGACCCCATCTCTACAAAAAATAAAAAAGAATAATAAAAAATAAAATAAATATCTATGGACCATCTGGGACTATGTCATCTTGGCAGAAGACAGCAGGGACAGATGACAATCAAGGATACCCACACTCAGGCCTTCGGATCTAAGTGCAACCCAAGGGAGACATGGGAAAGACACAAATCCCCACTTGACTAAAAAACTCCTGAGTTGACAGAATTAACCTGAATTGACTGAATTAGGTTTCTGCCATCGGTAGCACTGTAAAGTCAAAAGAGAGATGAAATTGAGTTATAAAAATAATAAAGGTCCATTTCTTAGATTCCTGAAAAATGTGAACTGACATTTGTGTCTAACACAGTTCTTCAGTCAACACAGCTTTCTATGTAGAGTTGTCAAATTTAGCAAATTAAAATACAGGACACCCAGTTAAGTTTGAATTTCAGATAAACAACTAATTAATGTTTAGTATGAATATGTCCTATGCAATATTTGAGATATACTTATACTGAGAATTATTTGATGTTTATCTGCAATTCAAATAATTTTTAGTATAAGTGTGTCCCATACAATAACTAGGACATAATTCTACTAAAAGACAATTTGTTATTTATCTGAAATTCAAATTTAACTGGGCATCCTGTATTTTCTTCGACAACTCTATCCCTAGTGCCTCCTCCCCTGGGGTGGGAGTCTACCACACATCCTTCTCCTTGTAGACTCCCACCAAGCTGTCAACACTGGCCAAGACCTACCTTCCCCCGAAGACACAGTTCCAGAATTTTCCTTTTTTGGTTTAAGAGTCCAACTATAGTCTTCAATCCAGCGTTTCAGGATCAATTCCCAGAGCTCCTGAATAGAGACCACTTCCAAGT